CCCCCCCCCCTTTCCCCCCCATCTATCTATCATCTGGTTGGGAAGACCTTTCAGCTTTAGTTTATGCCCTATTAGCTATTGCTGGCCTTATGATTAAATCTAAAACCTAAAATAATAAATGAAAATAACCTAAGTGTTGGTTCCAGTGAATACGAATTGTTACAATGTCTTGTATTAAATTGTTCACAGTGCCTTTACTCATGACTTTTTAAAAATGTCTTTATTGAGACATAATTCATACACCAAAGAGTTTACCCACTTAAAGTGTATAATGTAGTAATTTTTATCTTCAGAGAATTGTGCAGCCATCATCATCATCTATTTTAGCATATTTTCATTACCCTGAGAAAATTCCCCAGTCTCCCTTCACCCCTGACCCCATCATCCACCCTAGAAAACCACAAACTTACTTTCTGTTCTAGGGATTTTCCTTCTCTGCACATTTCATAAGAATGGAATCATGCAATACGTGTGACTAGCTTCTCTGACTTAGCGTGGTGTTTTCAAGGTTCATCCATGCTGTAGTGTTTATCAGTGCTTCCTACCTGTTTATCGCTGAGTAATATCCCATTATGCATCATTTGTCTCTTCGTTAGTTGATGGACATTTGAGTTCTTTCCACTTTTCTGTTATTATCAATAACGCTGCTGTGAACATTATATTCATGTGCAGGGATTTGTGTGGATTTAAGTTTTCATTTATCTTGGTTGTATCCCTAGCAGTGGAATTTCTGAGTCATATATTAATTCTAAAACATTTTGAAGACCTCCAGATTATTTTTCAAAGTGGCTGCAACCATTTTACATTCCCACTAGCAATGTATGAGACTCTCAATTTTTCCACATCACTGACAATACTTATTTTACATTTTTTTTATGATTGCCATCCTAATGGTTAAGAAGTATATCTCATTGTGGTTTTGATTTGCATTTCCCTAATAGTTAATGATGTAGAGCATTTTTTTATGTGTGTCCTGGCCATTTTAAAGATAAATGTCTATTTAAATATTTTGCCCATTTTTACATTTGGTTATGTGTATTTTTATTGAGTTATATGAGTTTTTTTGTAAAATCCTCTATCAGATATATCACTTACAATTTTTTTTTCCTGATTCTTTGAGTTGTCTTTTCATTTTTTAATGTGTGTGTTTTTTTAAGCACAAACATTTAAATTTTATAAAGTCCATTTTATCTATTATTTTGTTTGTCACTTGTGCTTTTAGTTTCATAACCACAAAGACTTTTCCTAATTCAAGGTCATGAAAATTTGCTTCTATAATTTCTTCGAATCGTTTGATAATCTAAATGTAAGCACCTCTTACATTTAGATTGTAGATGTTCTTTGAGATTTTTATAATACTGGAAATAAAGTTACTAGAAGAATATTTAAACGCGACAACACTAGCCTGGCCCGGTGTGGCTTGGTGGTTGAGCATTGACCTATGATCAGTGCTGACTGGTTGATCCCTGGTCAGGGCACATGCCCGGGTTGCGGGCTCAATCCCCAGTCGGGGGCGTGCAGGAGGCAGCCGATCAATGACTCTCTCATCATTGATGTTTCTATCTCTCTCCTTCTCCCTTTCTCTCTCTGAAATCAATAAAGATATATTTAAAATGAATAAATAAATAAACGTGACAACACTAGAATAGTTTGTATGTTATAGATAAATGAGTAAAATTCTCTGAGTTTAATATGCTAGATTCAGTTTGACTATTTTTCTCTTATAAGTTTCTTATTTAATATTTTATTTAATTAGGTATTAATATACAGGGGTGGGCAAAAGCAGATTTATAGTTACGCTAGTATGCTAAACTCAGAGTGTATTCTTGTATTTTTACTAATCATTGTACTATGTTGCATACAAACGACTGCGAACCTACTTTTGCCCGCCCCTGTATGTAAGGTCTTACCCAGACCTTAGGCAGGCCAAGTGCTTAATAAGGTAGGGAAGTATTTGATATAGTAAATACACTTTGATGGCATGGATGATTCACTTGCTTAGTTGTTTGTTTGTTTTTTATTGTTGAGAGTATTACGATGCCCCCCACTTCCTTCCCTTACCCTCCTCCACCCATATCCCACCCCACCCCAGACCCCCACCTGTGCATTGTCTGTGTCCATGGGCTGTTCATATATGCTTATAAGTCCTTTGGTTAATCTTGTCCCGCCCTCCTTCCTGCCTTTCCTCTGAGATCTATCAGTCTGACCCATGCTTCCCTGTCTGTGGTCCTATCTGTTCTGTTCCTTAGATTCCACTATGAGTGAGATCATGTGGTACTTGTCTTTCTCTGACTGGCTTATTTCACTTAGCATGATCCTGTCCAGGTCCATCCAGGCTGTTTCAATGACAGAACAACTTTGACGGTTGGGAGAAAGTAGATGACTGCACGTGGGAGGGCGGAGCACAGGGAGGCTGTCTGAACAGGATGGTAGCAGCCCACCATATCCCTGCTACACCGAAAGCAGCGCAGAACTCCTGATGCACTTCAGGATCAGGTTCTGTGGCTGTGTGTCCAGACACTGACATTTGCGAATGTTGCTATTTGCAGACTGTGATTAGCCCTTCATAGTTAAATACTTTGAGGTCTTTCTTATTTCTTTTTAAAAGAATTCTTACTTTTATTATAGCCTGCAAATTTTTCACGTGCTTTAGGGACCCGGTGCTTACAGTATGTAACCTTCTTTATTATTGTGACACATGATGTGATTACCTCTCCATATTTAATGCTTTGGGTATCTTTAGTTATTTTCTCTTTTTTAAGTTCTGACCAGTGTACTATAAATTACTTTTTAAAAAAAAAATATATCTTTATTGATTTCAGAGAGAGGATACCAAGAGGTCCCTCTCGTTAATGGCCTTGCTTTCCTTGCGGTCACAGCGGAGTCATTGGCACCCGTCACTCTTCCTTGCTCCATGGTGACAGACCAAATTCTACCAAGTGCTGCTTTATAATGTGCCTTCTATCGTCCTCTTTTCCCTACTGTCAGCATCATCTTTCAAAGTCAGGGTTTTTTGTTTGTCTGTTTTATTATTATTCTCTGGGACACTTAACGCTGACTCTTAACTGTCTCTGTGCCGTCCTTGCTACCAGTCTGACGCTACAGACCAGGAGTGTCCTTCTAAGGCACAGGCGGTCCACCTGCTGTTGCCTCCAAGTCTGTTAGCCTTGGAGACTGAAAGTCACACTCCCTACCACGCAATTTAAAGCCCTTTTGTCTCCTCTGGGGCACCCAGACCACCTTCCCCCCTCACCTAGTGTCCGTTTCCGCCCTGGCTGTGAAATGCCCTGTGCCTGTCCTCTAATTTCTTTCTTCTTTTGGTCCGGTTTCTTCTATCTGAATGCTTTTCTCCCTTATTGACCTACCTTTATTCTCTACAGCTCAATGTAAATGCCACCTTTCTGGGGAGAGACTCTTACCATACTCTAGTTAGAGTTAATATTTAGCTTCTCGTTTTCTTCCTAGAGCGCATTTCTCATTTCATTCTAACACAGTGATTTATACTCGAGCTCTTCAGTCCCGCATAGACGGATCCAAATCCTGCCTCTGCTGCGTAACAGCTCTGCGCTCCTGGGCAGTCGGTTTCATTCCCTGAGCTGCTTCCCCGTCTGATAAATTTAGCTCGTATTCGTACATAAGGTGTGTCTCTTTAGGTCAAGCCTGACAGCACACTGGCTGCATGATGGGGCATCTGTGCGTGTCCTGGGCATGGGGCATTTGGCTTGCCCCCCCGGGGCAGTAAGCGCTCTGAGGGCAGGGCAGCCTGCTCGGCCGCTCCCCGCACCCTGCCGCCTCCTGCTTTCGTTGGCCTGGCTTCATGGGCATTCGCCACAGCGTCAGAACTAAGGCGTTCACTGATTGCTACATTGTCTCCGTACACGGCGGCACGGGGATGCCTCAGGGGGTGCATGCAGACCGGGAGAGTGAGGCGAATGAAACCGCAGCAGGAGCCTCCCGAGGGATCCGAGCCGCGCGCACCGCAGCCGGCCGCAGGGCGGGAAGGCCTGTGCTGACCGTGTCTTGTTCCGCAGGGTCCCGGCTCCGGCAGGAAGACTTCGCCCCGCGCATCGTGGAGCACCCCTCGGACGTCATCGTGTCCAAGGGCGAGCCCACCACCCTGAACTGCAAGGCGGAGGGCCGGCCCACGCCCACCATCGAGTGGTACAAGGACGGCGAGCGCGTGGAGACCGACAAGGATGACCCGCGCTCGCACAGGATGCTGCTGCCCAGCGGCTCGCTCTTCTTCCTGCGCATCGTGCACGGGCGCCGCAGCAAGCCCGACGAGGGCAGCTACGTGTGCGTGGCCAGGAACTACCTGGGCGAGGCCGTGAGTCGCAACGCGTCCCTGGAAGTGGCACGTAAGTGAGCCCGCGGGCCCCGGGGCGCGCCGTGTGGGCGGGAGGCCG